ACGTGCGCGCGGCCGGGCTCTCCGCCGGCCGGCCCGGCCCTACAGCTCCAGGTGCACCCCGCTGTAGGCTTTGTCCACCGTCCACTCTCCCGGGGCGCCAGCCCCCGCGTAACGCTCCATCTCCTGCTGGAACTGCAGCTGCCGCCGCCGGTTGGGGTCCACATTGATCCAGTTGTTGGCAATCCACTTGGTGCCTTGGGTGACGAGGCAGCCCCCGTGCAGGGCGAAGTCGTCCAGCTCCCCGACCCAGCCTGTGGAGCAAAAAGCCCTGTTGGGAGGGGGCAAGGAATGCTGCAGCACAGGCAGGCACAGCCGGGACTGCAAGGGAAGGCACCAGCTCTCCTGCCTGCAGTGATTTTAGCTCAGATACATCTTAGAGGAGCTGGCTCCTCCTGGCACCCCTCCATCTTAACACCACCCACTCCTAGCACCTACCAGGAGTTCACCAGGGCAGGGTCCGCAAGCACAAAACGCTTGTTGCCTCTCCACTCGGCACAAGGGGCTCTCATATTCTGATCATGGTTGCTGGGTTTCTCAGCTCCTCCCAAAAGGGGACGCTGGCATGGAAGAGATGGGTGCTGCCACTGGAAGGCCCATGGAAGTCAGAGGCTCATGGCCATAGTAGAGATCACAGTTCTGAATGACCCTCTCTTTACAGAGGTCCCATGGATTTTCTGTGGTATACTTGCATCAGCAGCTGCCTTCCATTTAGGAACAATTTTCTCATAAAAGTGTAACAGGGCTCTTCTTAAAGGAGAGTGATGGCCTTGATATTATCCAACAGCCCAAATGCTGGTCTTGTGACCTCCTCTGTGGATTTTCTAGAAATCGAAACATGGGCTGCTCCCAGGGGAGCTGGGATGCTCCCTCCTCCCACCATTGCTCAAAATCTGCCACTAAAACACTTCTGGAGTCATACTGACCAGCAGCCTGGAAGATTCATGTCAATCCCCCAGCCTGGCTGCCAGGGAAAACTGCACTGCGCTTCATGAGAAAAACGTTCCCAAGGACACGTATCATCAGGCTGTGGCTGAGCTATAAAGCAGGAGTGGGCCCCAAGCGTGGCAGAGCCTTGTGTGGGGTGGGCCATGCCTCCCTGTGCTGCAGAGCTGATGGCCATGCCTTTGTCTACCTCCCCTCCCCACCCCTTTGGGCAACACCACATCAGTGAAACATTTTGAATTGCAGACCAAGTTCCAGCAGGAGTTTCAGCTCACACAGCGGGATGGAAAGCAGCTGGCAATGGCTAGCGCAGCCAAGGTCTTTGTTTGCTAGCTAGTCCCGGCCCCCAAAGACTTCAGGAGCCACTGACCTACTGCCTGTAAACAAAGGCCTTTCAGTGTCAGGAAGCTGCTACGCAGCTGGTGACAAGTAGACTCCACTGTTCCCACTAGCAGGCAGCTACCACCCTTTGGCTCTCTTCTGAGCTCCCAGCCGCTGCAAGACGACAGCTGTCACCTCCTGCAGTCCTACCCCTCTCAAGAGCTGAATCTTGAAACGAGCCCGTACCTTCTCCATCTGACAGGTAGTTGTACCAGAAGACAGCAGTGCCTTGCTGAGGTTTCACTCGCAAATTGCCCTTGTCGCAGTTTTTCCGAGTATCTCGCAGGTCAACGTCATTCTGGATCAAAGACTGGCAAGAAACCACAAAGAAGGTGTCGCAAAAGGGGCTGGAACAAAGCAAATGCACTGGGCTGCCTCTGCTGCCAGCCACCATCCTGCCCTTTGCCTGAATGCCCCACAGGGACAGCTCAAAGCTGACGCTGGGCAGGACAGGGCTTTCACAACCCACCCAGAGTGACCAGTTTCAGCCCTGCTGGAGGTCCATGACCTGTTTCTGAGCAGCAGCCCATTCCTTAACACGTTGCCTGACAGGAGCACAACATACCTGCCAAGACTTAGTCTGTGGAAACCTGCCCAGACAGAAGCAAGACCTGTGTTAGGGCAGCAAGGCCAACAGACCGCCCCTCACGCCTCTGAGCGGGGAGAGCTGCAGCTGCCAAAGCCCTGGACCTCTTCCCTTGGCCTCAGGGTGAAAAGACCATAAGCGGAGCACAGCTTCCCCACACTTTAGCTACAAAGGCTAACACCCACCAACCTCACACACCAAACTCCTTCTGCAATCACAGCGAATAAAGACATTCAAAGAGGGACTCAAAATCCACAGGGGTAATATCTAGGCGAGATTCATTTACCATCTCTTCATACGTCCTGTTATCAGCTATAGGAAAGACTGTTTCACCTCCCCCAGTCACATTGTTCAGGTAGAACAGCACCGTCACATACCTGCAAGACAGAGTGGCTATCAGGGGACAAAACTGGAACAGGAGGAGACACACAGGGGCTGTCTATACCCTGCCCCTCCACCGTACATATAGCAGTTCCTCCAAGACATCACAAGATATGCAATTTACATCATCAGCTTTTCTCCAAGGACAAGACAAGGACAACAAAGAAAATCCCCACCTGCAATGGTGAGGGTGCGTTTCTAGCCTCTGGGGATGGCCCAGCAGCTCTGCAGCACCACTCTGCCCTCCTTGCATGGACCCATAGTATTCACCTACCTTCTCAAACCCTTTCATTCCAGCGATCTCCAGAGCTGGTTTGCAAGCCCACAACCTGAGCACTGAGTCGCACCCGAGGTGAGGTGAAACTGCTCTCTACACTTCTTCTCTAGCACATTCCATATTGTGACAAGGCAAACCTTACCGGCAGGAGGTCTCAAAGGGAGCACTTTCATTGGCGACCAGCTTGGTGTGGCTGCAGGCAGTCTCAGGGAACACTGGGCCACTGTCCATGTGGGCATGGTAGTGCCCTCCTTGGTCATACCGCACAACCTGGAGGGGCTCGCTGTGCTCCACAATCTCAGGGGGCAAGCGAGTCAGGCGCATTACCCTGGGAAGAGGAGAGTAGAGCAGGTGAGGGGAAATCACCATCACCTGGTTGGCCGCTACTCCCAAGCACCAAATAAATCCAGAGAAAGATAACCCCCTTCCCCAACAGACCGGAGAGACAGATAGACAGATGGCCTGCAGCAAGCATACCAAGAGATAACTAGGTCCTTACAGATCTGTTGGACCATCAGCATCAGCTCAGAAAGTCCTCGTCAAGGTTAATAAAAAAACCCCAAACCGAAGGGTGCATCTCCAGCAGGACTGCTCTCAGGAAGACTTTGCTTGCTCAGCAAGATCCCTTCTGTGTGTGTCCCTGGAGCCTTCATGTGCCATCTCACCGCTTCTCTGGACTCCTGCACACCACCTACAGACCTCGGGGACAGTTAGCAAAGCACAGGGCCCCTGCTGAGAGTGAATGAGAGACTAACTCTAGGAATATTCTTGTCACCTAACTCACCTTTCCCTGTTGCCTTTTCAGCAGCCTCCCCCCAGGGCAGAGGGGCACAGGAAGTGATCAAGGAGACCGGAGCCCTCCTGCTCTGGGATTTTTCCGCTGCTACATCTGAGATCATCCCCAAGGCAAGCAGGTACCTCTCGAGACCTGCCAAAGAACACTCAGAGCTCTGAGAATTTGGACCGGTGAAGCCCTCGGGGCAGGCACGAGGGGAACCCGGCAGCCAGGCAGCAAAGCCCCTCCAGGCACCGCATGGTCCCAGGGAGGACTGTAACAGCCTCCTTCAGCGCTGTCTTCATGTCCTCCTAACAGTGGCCAACAGAAGAGCGTAAAAGCAGTATGCTGATGCCTGTATGCGCTGGCTAGCTGGCATGGAGAAGGTGGCAGCCACAGTCTGCTCTAATCAAGGCAATATGCGACCCCATTCTCCTGCTGGAATGCACTGAAGAAAGGGAGTGGCCAACAGCCGTTTTCAAGCCTCGGGACAGATTTTACCCACCCATGTCCTGGGCGAGGACCAGCACCACAAGAACGAGAGTCTCCAGCCAATTATCTGAAACTCACCACGGCTAAATGATTTGGCCCATGTGCTGGGTTTCAACGCTTCCCAGTACCAAATCTGAGATGAAGGGAAAGGTAAGAGGTTCTCCTGTCTGCCGTGAGCTGCCCTGCGCGCGATACACGTGCTTGGAGCATTAAACTAACTCGGATTACTTGAGATGAAGTCATGCTTGTTAAAAAGCTCTGACCAGCTAAGACAGATTTCAGTGAAATGCATGAGTAACTAAAGCAAATGACAGTAACTACTGGCACCTAGACAGCATTGGAAATGGGCAGTTTCTCCCAGTAAGCTCATTTACTAATTAGAATGAATTATTTCATATAATGCCAAGTCTTCTTGGGTTTATAGGGCTGTTCCCAAAAGTGAATGGAGATGCTGAAAAGTTTGATTTTTCTTTTTCCTTTTCCTCAGGACAATACAAATTCTTGTTCTAATGAAAACCTCCTCTCCCCATTTTGTGTCTGTGGTCATTGCTCTTTATACTCCAAAGACTTTCACACAATTAGGAAGTGTGAATATTAGCAAGTCTGCCACTGCCTCTCCCAGCACAGGTGGTCCTTGTGCCTACACAAACCCAACCGCCCCTTGGCTGCCTGGCCCTTACCTTTGCCGTATGGCTCTCATGACCTGGTGTGCCCCCTCGCCCTGGTACAGCCAGGTGTGCTGGCTGTTGCGCACCAAGTCACTCATCTTCACTTTCTGGCTCCCCATGTACTTGTGGAAATCACGGATATTCAGTTGTTTGAACTCCTCCAAACTCAGTACACCTAAGGGAAGAGATGAAAAGCTGGCTGACCGGTGTAGGTAACAGGTCTTGGCATCCTGTACTCAGAGAAACCACCAGCTGAGGGCACTGCAGAAATTGCCTTCCTCAAACAAACCCCATCCAGGGTCCACCACCATACCCACCCCAGGCTGCACCCCATATGCGCAGGAGTACAGACCCCAGAAATGCTCTCACCTTTAGCTGAGTAGAGGGCAGACAGCAACCTGCAAAAGTGAACCGTTAGATGCTGTGCAGGGTCAGAACTGGGACAGGCAAAGTATAATTTTGAACTTTAAAAAGCTCCTAAACCACACAAACCAATCCATCAAAAGAGAGAAATAGCCACTACAGTTCTAACATATGCAATGCCACAGCTAAAAAGCCTGTGCCACCTGATGCCCTGGGGCTTGTTACTTAGATATTTAGACACATTTAAGAGCAGAGTGGGACACCTCAGACCACATTTCCTACAAGTCCGTGCATGGTAATTTAAAAAAGACAAACCCCAAACAAGTGGTACATTCTTTTGCATTTGTGTAATTGCAAAATATGAGCAAGAAATACAACAGAGTATGATCTTGCATAAGTAGCAATAACAGCAAAGTGAGAGGTAAAAAGCGGTTTCTACTAAAACAGGCATTTCCTGTTTGCACTCATCTGGACTCAGCAAGGAATGGACTTTTGCCTTTGTCAATTTCGGAAAAATCCTTGCATTTGTTGTTTCCCCTTCCTGGAGAAGAAGGAAGCCCCGTGCTGGGGACCAGGTCCCTGGGACCAGAGCGTGCGGAGCACTGCACTGGGCTGCCCGGCAGCCAGCGCACATTGCAGGTTGTGAGCTGAGCTCACTCAGGCAGCAAACCCAGTGCTGCTGTGGTGCCAGCTCTGCTCCCTCGGCACACAGCACCCTCCAGCAGGAGGAAGGACCAGCCACCAGGGTCAGCCTGGGACAGTTCCTCAGGTGCCAGTGGTCATGACCAAATTATCCACCATTATTATTTCTAGTGTCTCCCTGTCCCCACTTCCCCTTATTCCACACGGTCTTCACTGACACAGTACCACATCCAGGTTGTGACCTGGTCTCTCGGTGTCACGTACCAACCTAGCAACAGAAGAAAGCAGCACTCTGGAAGCCAGGTCCTGCCAAGAGCACTTTAACAGGACCTTTCATTTGTCAATGTCCGGAATGGTGGAAAAGCCACTGAGGACTCAGTCATTTGCTCCTACGCCTGCCAAGAATGCCACCGGCTGAAGGAGCGGGGCACGGGGTGCCCTCCGGATATTTAGGCATTCACACGGGTACTGCTTCAACTCCAAAGCAGCTCCTCCTGGACAGCTCTAATGCCAGGTCACTGGAAGAGAGCGTGCAGAGGCTGTGCATTCACTTAATTTGATTAGGAAATGGGGAGTTGCTTAATTGAGGCCACTCTAATTAGAGCAGCAGAGGTTACAGTGCATGTCCGGACCAGCGGGAGCCCTGGTCCCGCTGAGGAGAGGCAAAAGTGGCCTCATGGAATACAGCGTTTGCAGCAGCAGAGAGGGAGGTCAGCAACAATGGCTCACCGACAAGACCACAACAACCCCCACCTCCACTTATTCCATCCTCCCCTGCCAGTCATGCAGCAGTCCCAGCCTGCTGCAGAAGTCTCCCTGAAAACAGGGGGAGAGTGGAGGGTGCACCTTAACACCTGCAGCACAGGTAACAAGAGCTACGTAGTCAGAGCCAGAGCAGTCTCTCAGACCACAGGAGCAGAAGCGCACCCTGAAGGTCCTGTTACAGTGGGGCATGAACCAAGGCAGGTCTGACAAGGAAAAGGGAGTTGAGTTCTGGTCCTGCTTCTGCAAGATCCAAGCCCAGGCAGTTAGAATTTGCCTGCTGCTAGGCTGGCGATGAAGGGACAGGAATGCTGCGATGTGAGGTTTACACTAATTTTACTTTTCTGTGAAGGTCTTTAAAGCAGTGTTATTTTCCTTTGAAGAACACATCTAGAGGAACAGGCCTGGGCAGGGACATGGCTCTTGCTCTGCCCTGCATGGCTGTGCATGGCATCCAGTGTACTGATTCCCATGGAGGTGCTCTTACCGTTCCCATCAGGATCAGCCTTGACTGCAGTGTACATCTCCCGGATGTTTTCGGGGGTCATCCACCTGCCGTTCCCAAGCCGGGTGTGGGTCAACACCTGAAATTTGGAAATGGATCAACACTGGGCACTGGTTTCTTGTACTAATGAAACCCTACAGATTCCCTGCTTGAGGCCTGGCGGGCTCTTCTCTGCAGAGCGTCGGTCAGCCAGGCGTCAGCACGTCTCTGCTGGATTGGAGTGGGAGTGGGAATAATCTGGCAGCCACACACACTGTGCGGCTGATGTGTGCTGTTATTTCCACTTTAGGTCATGGCAAATGGCTGCTGGGACTCAGTTAACCAGTCATGAGATGGAGGGGGCACAGCTCTTTCTCTTGAAGGGAAAGTAAAGCTATTGATGATAAAAGTGAATGCTTTTACTTGTCCAAGGTAAGGGGTTGGAACAAAATGCTTCCTTTCCACATGGACAGAGAAATGCAGTATCTTGGAGAGGTCTCAGCAGGCTCTGATCTCCAGGGAGAGGAGCCACGTGCTGGGTTGTCACTGGTGCGGTTTCCCATACTCCACGCTTGCTGCCCACAGGACAGTACACATCCCTAGCCCCACCTGAAACGGGAGCTTGGGGAAGGACATCCCTGAACTGCCCTGATGCACCCTGCCATAGAGGGCAAGAGTGATGAAGAGCTGTGGACAAGGCACTCATTATCGCACTCCAGGGTTATTAATAGGGGTGGCTTTGCTGGTGTCTGGTCAGCTGAGCACAGTCAGCTCCCCACAGGCTGCACAAAGCAGTGCCTACACTACAAACTTACCTCCCCGGGACACCCAGCAAGAGGAAATGCACAGAGCAAGGAACACTTTACCCAGAATATTTAAAACACATATCTCCTGCCAAGGACTGTTGCTACCTCCCAATAGCATGACAACTGCTGCACACTCCCCCAGAAACCTCCATGCTGAAAGCATGAGTCTTGAGACATAAAATTAAGCAAACACTGATCAGTATATACTGGGGTCTGGCCCTATGCAAGCACATGAGTAATCAAGAGACCATCTGAGCAAGGGACCTGCCAGAGTGTCCCCCCAGCAAACCTTCCCCAAGTCTGTCCTGCATTCTACCTCTTTGAGCTGCAGTTGCCCATCCTGATTGTGGTCCAGCAGATTGAAAATGTCCATCTGGCTGATTTCTATCATTTCCATGGCTTCTTCATAGTCATCCGTTGGAAGGATCTGGCTCTTCTGCAGCCCCTTCAGCTGTGCCAGATGGACGATGAGCTTGCACTCTTCCTCTGTCAGGAAGTCAGGAATTTCTGCAGCAAAAGTGGGAGCAGCAACAGAGACTGAGGAACTGTTACAGGTGGAACCCCATACCAATGGCAGGCCACTCAGAAGGAGGGGAAAAAAAAGGGAGGGGGGGGAAGAGGTGTGTGGGGGAAATTTAGAAACTGCCTACATTTGTGACGTTCAAACACATCCACCCTTCTACCAGAAGAGCATACACCACACACCTGAGCTGCTGGAGGCGGGCATTTTTACAGCAGCAGGTCCTAAATGTTTGGGTCCAGGGGTCAAGCCCTTAAACTCTCTCACAGATACAACAATGGACAAAGGAGTGAACAAACACATGCATATCACCGCATATTATCACTTCAAAGGTGACATATGGCTCACAGTCTGGGAACTGCTTCTCTACAGGAAGGCATGCCGAAATCTCTACAGTGAGCAGTGGTGATGGCCAGGGTTTCAGGCGTCCTTGCTCTCACGTGGAGACGACAGCACTTCGCACAAAATCAAATGCCCTTCAGGGGAACCTGGCACAGTGCTCTACTGTGAAACTCAAACACCAAGGAGACAACTTCCAAACTTATTCCCACTCATTCCCTTGATCCCCCACTAAAAACGGTCTTCAAATGCAGCATTAAAGGGGAACACCCTGCACACGGCGGATGCCACACTCCATACCCAGGTAGCATCTCGCTATCACCAGCTCTCCTTTGCAGCACAACACCAGCAGCAATCAGGCAATACTGGGATCCCGAGCAAATTCAAATGCAGAGAAATCCAGCGATGACTATGAGGCTAAGAGATTTCTAGCTGCATGGTGCACTGGGCATGCACTTGCAAAGCACTGGTAAGGTCCTGTTCCACAGCACAGTTACACTGTGGCCCAGGAGGTTGAGAAGATCCTTCTGGCTGATGTGTCACTGCTACAGTGATCTTGTTACCAGCCGCTGAGACTTTCAAAGGGGGAAAGAAAACCCACCAAAGCAGGACAGATTTAAGTGCTCCTAGGCCCAAGGTCCTGCTCTCCAAATTGCAGCTCCCTAGAGCTCCTGCGGGTATGTCCTACTGACACATTCTATCTCAACTGCAGCAGCAATCATCAAAGGGGGGGGGGGGGGAAATTAATTACTTCCATGACCTTACATCAACCCTATCAGCTCAAACCATCAATAAGCAGTTGGCTTCTTGCTAAGTACAGACCAGAACTAGCCCTGTAGAAAATGAGATGTTCCTGGGAAGCCCCAGAAACACAATGCAGCCGGCTGTATCCGTAACACCCACCGAGGAAACAATTTCCGCCACAGGCAGTGCAGGGTCCTTGTGCCAGAGGATGCTTCAGAGCCGGAGCTTCCGCTGGCCGGTTTGAACCTCATGGCACGGCACCAGGTCCAAATGAACCGTGTGCGCTGGCAAGCGCTGCCCCCAGTATTTCCAGTTCCCCAAACTGGGCTACAATAATGACGGCTTCTGGAATCTTAATTACATGCTGGAGGAAGGACAATCCCTCTCTTCAGCGGTAGTAACGGGATTTTGTAATGAAGTAAAGATACTGTTAAGCTGAAAGCATGCTCTGTCACACAGGTTGCAAGGTGAGGGGGTTTCCAGCTAAGTGCTGCCAATCCCATCTGCAAACAACCTGGCTCCACAGCTGCAAATTAGTTCCTCTCTACCCTCAGCTCTCTGAAACGGTTAACTTCTGGCTGTGAGACCATCCTATCTCCCTGCCTGCTCAACAATAGATCCAGCTAAACAAATGCCTCTTAATTGACTTTGAGCAACACTTGATTGCTTTTACAAAAAACAAAAGAGAGGAAAACATTGGGGTTTATGAAATAATGACTAATCCTGGAGCAAGAGAAAGGGGATGGGTTGGAGCACTGGTGTCAAACAGAGATTCAATCTCGGCTGAAAGAGCCCCAAGACACATGGGCCAAGACATTCATCCCTCCCCAACTGCCCTCATTTCCACACCTGCTGATCTAAGCCAAACCCCTGCTAAAATCCAAACAATCGGGGCCGCTGGCAAATGAAAATTGGAGCATTGTCTTCCCCATGAGGGCTCTGAAAGGGCTGCACTTAATGAGGATGGATTGAGAGAGAGGTGGCTCATAGGCTATAAAAGGCGTCCCGCGGTCGGGAGCAGCTCAGTCCGGGGTGCGCTGCCTGTTCGCCCGCTCTCAGCTCACTCCGAGCATGGTCGTGGCCCACCGCAGGCACCCCTCGAGGTCAGGTGGCCCATGGCTGCTGGGTCTCCTGGCGCGCCTGCTGCTCTGGGGCTCTCCAGGAGCCTGGGCGAGCTACCTGAGGAGATCCTCCAGCTGCACGCCCATTCCACACCGCATGGCCTTGTGCTACGATATTGGCTACTCTGAGATGAGGATTCCCAACCTGCTGGAGCACGAGACCATGCCAGAAGTGATCCAGCAGTCTTCCAGTTGGCTGCCCTTGCTGGCCAGGGAGTGCCACCCAGATGCTAGGATTTTCCTCTGCTCTCTCTTTGCACCAATCTGCTTGGACAGGTAAGATGTTTTTACAAGTTATTTCAGCTGTAGCAAGTAACAGTCCCCAACCGCGCAACTGCATTTGCCTCCCGAGAGAAAACGCATGCAATGGGATCAGTGCAAGTCCCCAAGAAGACGTGTTGCCCCTCTTGGCGAGGGGTAATTGGATTACCCAGCAGCGACCTTCTCTCTGAAAGGGAAACACGAGCATTTCATCTCGCAGGAGCAGAAACATTATGTTCCCTCCTCTGGATTTTCTTGGTCTCCCAGCCCAGGCACCGCTGCCACCTCCCCTGGCCGCCCCCCTCGCACACCACAGTAGCTGCTGACACCCACCGGCTTCACCTCCCACCTCCCCTGCAGCCCCCTTCCCAGCTCCTGCCCCAACCACGCAGGGGCTTCCTCAGCCCAACAGTGCCAGCATCAGAGAGAAATCCTCACTTTTGAGGTGCAGCCATCGAGTACAGAGCTGCTAAGGAAATTGGGTATTTAATTAGGCACCTGTAAAGGTAAGCAGCCTTTGCACAACTAGAGAAGATCCTTGAAAGGGGAGGAAGGGCTTCTGGCAGCAGCTTGTGTCGAACAGCCTCATCCCTCATCCCTCCTGTCCTCAGAAATTCATTGTTTGCTTCCTGGGCATGAATGTTCAAAACACACCAAAGACCCCCAAATAGCTTCGCTAGCACTACCATGTGCAACGCAGCCCTGTGCGGCAGCAGCACGGTGCCAGGGCTCGACCCTCAGCCTGCTGCTGGAAGGACTCCAGAGGTGCTGCAATCTCCATCCCCTCCCCAGGCTCATCTACCCCTGCCGCAGCCTGTGCGAAGCCGTCAAGAGAAGCTGTGCCCCCGTCATGGCTTGTTACGGCTACCCCTGGCCCGAAATCCTGAACTGCAACAAATTTCCTGCGGATCATGAACTGTGCATTGCAGCAGTCTCCATGGATGAAAATTCCTCGAGCAGGAGAAGTAAGTTTTTTTTTTCCTCATATGTTTGCCCGATATGTAACACTGAAAGCTCGAAAGGATGGACCTATGTCTTGTTTCTATTCCCAATATTTCTGATTTTAAGCTATATTTAAATAAAGAAATTCTAAATTCTAGTTTTACTCTCTCTAGCAACTCCACCATGTCTAGAAAATTAGCGTAAAGTTGACTACAGCTTGTTCCCCTCTCTGCTGTATTCATTAGCTCCCTGGGTGCCATCAGACCAGGCAGGGTTTGAGGCCAGGGGAAGGAATCGCTGTAAAAGCCTGACCCTCAGGCACAGTATGAGAGCTCGTGGTGGCTCCAGGCAGTGAGATGAGCTTCCAGCGGAGCTAAGGAGCTGATCTTTCAGATGTGTCCAGGGTTTAAAAACACGCAAAAAGAAATGTTTTGCAAGCCTTCTCTTTAAACATTAGGAAAAATCACAAAGGGGCATGAGCCTCTGCAGACATGAGTTACACAAGAAAAAAATCTTTATGACTGAAAGACTAAATTAAACTCCCAGATACTCAGGAACACTGGGGGAGATTCAAGAGCAGTTAAGGGGAGAACAGATGCCTCATTTCAGCATCACTGGATGGAGTCTGGCCATACCAATGTCTTTACTGTTTCACCCAAACTAGGAGATATTTATTAAGCATTTTCATTGCTGCTTTAACATGCAGCAACACACACAAGCCTAAACAAAGCATGACAAGCAGTGTCTGCCCCAGCCACAGAAAAGAGAGCTTAACATTTCCCACCCTGGCCGTCTGAGCTGCCTCTCCAGGGACTGGGTAGCTCAGGAGGAAGGACTGCTCGGAAACAGCAAGTCACCACTCGCAGATCTCAAAATTGCATTATGCCTTTTCCAGTGAAGCCTGACAACAGTGTTATAACCAAATTTCTGTTGCAGCAGTGCCCCGAGCCAGCTGCAAGGACTGTGAACTTGAGGAGGCCAGCACTGCCAGGGAGATCCTGGAAAACCTCTGCACCAACGATTTTGGTGAGTCACTCCCCTCCTCCTCTCAGCTGCTGCCATTCCCTCCAGCAGCCAAGCAGTGGCATGGACAGAAAATGGCTTTGCCACAATAAACTGACTTGGAGGAACTGCAGTTTTTACAGCAGATCCCAGGTATTTTCAGGTCCCAACTTACCTGTTAGGTAACAGGAGGTGCCAGCTCCAGGCAGCACCAAAAGTGAAGACCTGCTTTATTTCTGGGGGCTCTGATTTGGTTTTGGTCTGGGGCTGCTAAATACAAGCACTACTGGTTTTGCCTTGGAGACAAACATTTCAATCAATGTCAATAAAAAATCTTTAGCAAGCTCCACGTTAGCTGTTTCAGACTTTAATACTGTTGTTCTAGTACTGCGACTCTCCCTCTCCCAGCCCAAGCAGGTGGCAGCACTGGATCTGCTCAATCAGCTGGCAGGAAGTTTTCAAGATACTGTCCTGAATTCAGGCACACAACCATGGGAGAAAAAATACCCTAAAGTTAAAAATCCTAGGCAGCTGGCAGTCATGTCACCTCCTGAAATGCCAGCTCAGAGAAAAGTGAAGTAATTTGCATAAGACCAGGACTTCGATGCATCCACTTGCTCGTGCCCCTTCTTCCTACGGGGTTTCTGCCCATGCAGTGGTGCTGATACACCTTTGCCACTCTCATGAGGAAAGCAGAGTGAGAAGAATGGTGTTCAGCACTGGAAACTAACCTCAAATGAGAACTTCTACAAGTTCACTGCAATTACAAGAGCTTGGATGGATGCGTCACCATATTAC